TGTGCTAGCATGGCTCCCATTGTCTCTTTGGTAACCGTCAAGTATAACCTAAGAGGTATTACGGGAAGTGCTGGCGCTAATACGGGAGGATTTGCGAGATAGGCTTTGATCTTTTTAAAGGCTTTTTGACACTCGTCATCCCATATTACTGGTACATTCTTCTTGAGCTTCCTGAAGATTGGTTCACATATCGTTGTCAGTTTTGATATGAACCTACTTATGTATTGCAACCGGCCAATAAATCCTCGAATTTGTTTCTCAGTCTTGGGCGGTGGCATTGACATGATTGCTTTAATCTTGGTTGGATCTACCTCTATTCGTCTAGAGCTTATGACGTATCCCAAGAGCTTGCCTGAGGTGACTCCAAAAGCACATTTTGATGGATTCAACCTCATGTTATATTTTCTTAGCCTTTTGAAGAATTTCCTCAACGCTACTTGATGGCCTGGACGGTCTTTTGATTTTACAATCATATTGTCGACATATACCTCGACTTCTTTGTGCATCATGTCGTGGAGTAAGGCAGTTGCTGCACGTTGGTAAGTAGCACCCGCGTTTTTCAACCCGAATGGCATTACCGTGTAGCAGTAAGTGCCCTATGGTGTTATAAAGGTTGTTTTCTCCATGTCTTCTTCTGCCATGAGAGTCTGATTGTACCCTGCGTATCCATCCATGAATGAAAGAAGTGTGTGATTTGCTGTGTTGTCTACCAGAATATCGATGTGTGGCAAAGGGAAGTCGTCCTTTAGACTTGCCTTATTAAGATCTCGATAGTCGACACACATCCTTACCCTTCCGTCTTTCTTTGGAACTGGGACGACGTTGGCGACCCATTCGGGGTATTTGGATACCTTGATGAAACCTGCAGTTATTTGTTTTTGAACTTCTTCTTTAATTTAAAGTGCTACGTCGGGTTTCATTCGACGCAACTTTTGTTTTACAGGTTTCATTCCTGGAATTAGTGGAATAGTGTGTTGAGCTATCTCTCTATTAATGTCTGGCATATCTTCATATGACCAAGCAAATACATCGATAAATTCTTTAAGAAAGTTAATTAAATCGGTTCTTTCTTGTTTATTCAATGTTAGTCCGATTTTAACTTCTCTTTTATGAGATGAATCGTTCGAGATGTCAACTGTTTCAGTTTCTTCAATTACCGGTGTTTTCTTTTCGAGTGTTTCCATTGCTTCAATAATTTCTTTGTCTTTTTCATCGTTAGCTAAGCAATGCTCGTCATCTTGGGTTAGAGAAGAACACAAGAAGTAAGGAGAATGAGAAATATTATTGTACTCTTAGATCATTACATCAAAGAGTGATATGTCCTCAGGGACTGGATCACTAACTATCCTAGGAGAAGAAATAGGAGGGGGAGGTGTTAGTACTAAAGACTGAGAAGACTCTAAAGGGGAAGACTCTGACTCAGACTCTGACTTAGACGACTCTTCGAACATCGGTCCTTGCCCTGTCGTGATTGATATCTTCCTTCCGCTTGGAGTAGTCACTTTGATAGTCTTGCGCCACCCTTGTAGTGATCCTTCGGCAGGAGTAATAAGCTTCGAGGGGTCGAAGCTTTCACTTTGTAGGACCGTTTGAATAAGCGAGGAGTTATATTCTTTGTAAGTTGGCTCATTCTTTTCCCGCCCAAACAGTAATCCCATGACGTTAAAGTCAAAGCATGGGGGTGCTTTCTCCTTATGGACAGGAGTTAAGATTTCATCAGTGAAGTAGCAATCCAAGAAAATCTCGAATCCTGGTTGTCGTATGCCGGTTACAACAATTGGCTCGGGAAATTCATGGCATGGATAGTCCTCTCCTTCCTTTATGAATTGACAATTAAGCGTAAGAGGGTACTGATCCATTGGAATTGCTTTCTTTTGAATGCGAGCGTCCCTACGTGCTTTCAACTTGTCCTGGGCTCGCTTGAGATCTTTCCGAGTCGGTTAAAAACCAAGTCCTAAAGTATCTAGCTTAGGGAGGCCAGGTGACTCCAGCAATTTTACTATCCCTTTCTTCTTTCCTAGGGTCATCCCCGGGAAGTGTCCTTGTTTCTTCAGCATGGTGTTGACAATCATGTTGGAATGGGGGTCATGGCAAAGAGATGTCCTTTCATCCCCCTGGATTAAGGAGACTTCTTCATTAAAGCCCCATAGGTCTTCATCATCTTCGTCGTGCTCCACGTTAATGATTGGATTTTCTATGGATTTTATTCTCATTGGCGAAGCATCGATAGTGATTGGAATTCCTCCAACTGTGGCTTTCACTTGTTGATGGAGAGATGAAGGGACGGCCTTTAGATCATGAAGCCAAGGGCGTCCCAACAACAAGTTGAATTAGGCTTTAATGTCTACTACTTGAAAAGTAGTAGCATGTTCTATTGCTCCTGCCGTTACATTTATGGTTATTTTTCCAAGAGCTTGACGACGAGTATTATCGTAGGCTCTTATTCCTTGTGTGGACGGAGTTAAGTCTTCATCCCTTATGCCGAGCATCCTCGCAGTTCTAAGTGGACAGACATTGATAGCTGATCCATTGTCTACAAGAGTCATGGGAACATTCATCCTTTTGCAAACTACCGTGAGGTTTAATGCCTTGTAATGTCTGTCACCTTCTCGGGGTAAATCTTTGTCTGAGAAGGTGATTAAATTAATCGGACTAGGAAGGTCACTTGTAAGCAAGTTGGCTTGTCCCTCAGGAGTAGTGTCAGAATCTATCCCGATTTTATCCAAGGCATTCATTACAGCCAACCTGTGCTATCGAGATGTTGCCAGAAGTTTCCACACATTCATCTCAACTTTTGTCTTATTAAACTATTTAACAATATCATTGTCTTCGATGATAGGTATGGGAACTTGTTGTACGGTGGGCATAGGTTGTGTTGAAACGGGAGGTTGCATTCTCCCAGATCTTGTGAGGACATCAATTGATGAATCCTCTTCCGCCCAAATGTCATCTGTGGTGTATGATACAAAAGGTGAAGGTCCTACTATGTCCTTTAGGTAGATATCTTCTTCATCACTGTCCCAAACTCCATTGATGGTTATATCCTCTTCTTGTTGGGTTTGGACTAGTTTCTTTTCATCAATCATTTTCTGTACCAAATCCTTACATTTACGTATAAGGGATCCCAATTGGAGTGTAGATTCTATTGCTCTTCTTAAGTTTTTCAGTGACTTGTAAGGGAAAATACTTTGCCTCATAAGTCGTTCTCACTGGAGTGAATTCTCTTTTAGGTTCTTCTTTTGGAAGTGGAAGGTCATCATATTTCTTATGGAGTTCGTTCATAACTTTGAGAGCTTCACGTAGTAGTTGCGATGCCTCCTTCTCAGACAGTGTGAGCAATTGTATATCCTCCTTACTCGCCGGTTCTGGAAGGCTATCTTTGACATCGAAAAAGGTCTCCTCTTCTTTTTTCTATGGCATTGATTTCTTCAACAGGTTTAATGAGAGATAAGGGGTCAATCTCGTTTTCCTCGTCGGAGATAGCCAGATTATGAGCTAGAGGTGCATTGTTGATGCTTGGCTTCTTACTGGCAGGGGGAAAGGGAAGTTTGTTATTGTTGATTAGGTCTTGGATAGCTTCCTTAAGCTTCCAACAACTTTCAGTAGAATTGCCCCTACCTTGGTGATACTTGTAGTGTGCGTTGGGGTTCTAGTTAACCGACCTCTTCTCAACTTGTGGGTCCCGAAATGGTCCAATGGGAGTTATAAGACCTTTTGCATTTAATCGATCAAATGCGGTATCATAACTCATGCCAATAGGAGTGAAGTTCCTCCTAAATGGTTTTTTCTGTCCTTGGTTGTTCATGGCAAGAACTTCTCCTAAATTAAAGGTGCTAAAATTATTTGAGTGGGCGGTTTTGGAAGAAGAAGGATTGTCGTTCTTCTTTCCTTTCCAGCCACTGTTGGAGTTATTGTTGGCAACTTTTGACTTAGCGAAGTCATCTTCAATATTGATCCCAATGTCATAAACATCCTTAAAGGTATGGAGATTATTTTGATATTTAAGATGCTTGGAATATTTTTCTTGGAGATTCTTGATAAACAGTCTCACAGACTCTTTTTCACTTGGCACCTCAATCATTTTAGCTGAGGTTTCTCTCCACTTGTTAAAGAAAGAGATGAAGCCTTCATTCTCTTTCTGTTTGAGGATTTCAAGTTCTCTATGGTCGGTCTCGACTTGGATGTTGCACTTGTACCTATCAACGAAAGCGTTTGCTATAGACTCCCAGGTAGAGGTCTTTTCTTTTTCGAGAGAAAAGAACCATTGTTGGCAAACGGTCTCGAGAGATAGTGAGAAAAGAGAAGGGAAGACCTTCTTATCAATACCCTTGATACTCATTATTGTTTCGAATGCTCTTAAATGGAAGTAAGGGTTGTCCATTGCTCTGAATTTTGGGATGTCGTTGGCGTTGAACTTCTGCGAAAGAAGATCTTTGTCCACCGAGACCCCTTGTGATGTAAGCTCTTGAAACTTGTAGTCGCTGGACAACTCGATTTCATTAAATTCTATCAGTTTCTTCAAATTTATAATTTATCCTTGTATATGAGTCCCCCTTTCGTCAATCCCAAATCGAATTGTATCCTCGTTAAGGTATTACTAGTATCATATTTGCATATTTGCATAATCGGATCCTTGATTTGTTGGGGAAATTCTTTTGATAACAACCATTGTTATTGTGAGTTTTTTTTATTAATTACTAATGTCATTGTGTTTTTGTTCATAGTGATTTGTGAGTTTGCATGTGTAAATTACAAATTATATTTTATATATGTGCTTTATTAACTAGTGAGAATTGATTATGGGGTTTCAACTAGGTTTCTAATCATGTTAATTTTAGAAATAGAGATACGAGACATTTGATTGGAAAAAAAAAAACAACTGATATTGAACTAGATTTATTAAAATTTGATTATACAAGTTAATAATTTGAATTGATCAATGTTGATTTATTCATTATTATTATGAATTTCTAATATGACATGATTTTAATTAGTTACTGATGACTGAAGATTTTTCTTAATGGAACTCCGACGGACCTTCTCTGTAGCCTGCAACGGGGTTCTTCTGATGAGTGTTTGGAACTTGATATTTGTTGGGGTCTTACTAATTGCGGTGAGTATACCTTCATAATTAATCATTGTTAGTTTTATTTCATTTTTAAGGACATCATATCATTTGTGAACTTGTGAGTTTGCTACAGATCGAGAAATTAATTAGCAATTCATTATTATGTATTTATGTGTATAATCAAGCTAGCTGCTTCAATTCGTAAGATATTACTCGATTAGTGTGCAGTGCCTTTTTTCTTTTTCTTTTTTTTTTTTTTAAGGGTGCAGTGCCTTTTTTCTTAATAACTTTGAAATCAATCCTTTTTTGTGATTCATTTCTTAATTGCAATAGTTAGATTCTATGGCTTAATAACTATAAAATATTTTATAACATCTAGTACATTTCTATGTGGTATTGTTCCTAGGAAAAAATGGCACTATATATGATCACTATGCTAGTTAACTAGTGTTAGTTTTGGAAATATTTCGCCTAAAAGGATTATGTTGGCTGGAGCTAAATTATCTCATTTGATTATTTAATCTACTGCATAATAATAATTTGTATATATGATGTCTGACAGTTGTGTTTAAGCTACAATTTATAGTTTTATGAAATTTTTGTCATCTATTTCTTTAGCTACAACTTATACTTGATAATATGTACTTACAGGTTACAGGGTCTTATAATTTAGATTTGTTATTACTTGCATTTTTGAGCTTATACTATGCCCACTTTGAACTTGCTTATTAGTTATTATTAGAATCGAACTGCTCCACAATAAAAGAGCAATTTATATCGTAGAGTTGTGTTTTGAATGTGATCTCATCCTGATAAGTTTAATTTCCTTCTTAAAGTAGTACTATGTTGTAGATCTCATATAGTGTGAATACCTTTTTGAAGACTTTTAGATGATTGTAAGTTTTTTTTATCTTCGAAAAGAACACTAATAAATTGACTAAGTTTATTGTCTTTGTTTGATTATGCCGATATAGCATGCATTACTACATATAAACTAGGCTAATTAACTTACTCGTTTTTAGGTACTTACATGACTGGAATGATTCAAGTTGTTATCAAGACCAAATTGATAAAGTGATGAGAACTCAACAAGCGCATCGTGTTCTTCTCAGATCATATAAATATAATGGTGGATACATGATGGTAATATTGTCAAAATTCATAATGTTGATTTAGAGTTAAAAGTAGTTATGAGATTGTATAGTTTTTTATTTAACTTTTTACGTAGTGTTTAATTATAATAAAGAATGAATAATTCTTGTATGTACGAGCATTTGAGAATTTTATTTGATATGAGACAAATAAAGTTGCTTTTGTTGTATATATTATTGATCAATTGTTAAATTTAGCTCTATAATGTTTGTGTTTGGGACGCATTTGATGTTAGGATAAAATATAAAAGCTTAAAAAAATCTCTAAAAAGATAATCTAATTCAATAATGATTTTAGTTTAACCTTAATAAGAGGTTTAATAGCGCTTAACTATTCAATGCTGCTAAACGTGGAAATATTAACAGCGCTTTAAGTAAGCGTCATAATTCTTTTAGTAGCACCTATAATTAATAGCGCTTCAAAAGCGTTGTGTTTTGCTGAAAAAAGCGCTATTAAAGACTACTTTTGGTGTACTGGAAAATGCCATTTTCTGATTACGGTCTCATTTTTAGGCATGTCTTCAAACTGTACGTGCTCGGATCACCCCATAATGAGCCCCTATGATAGGCGATGATATAATTGCCGCTTTCTAAGAGCCTCCTGGGAGAAAAGTGTATGTGAAAAAACATGTTAACTTATGTATTAGAAACAACATTAATGAAGAAACCAATTGTTATGGCTAACTTTTGTAAGTACACTTGTATTTATTGTTATGTTTGACACCCTTTGGGGCGACCGAGCCCCTTAGGGGGTTGAAATATGTTTGGTGCCCCTTAAGGCTAATGAGCCCCATGGATGGGCGATGATGTGTCTCATGCCCTTAGGGCTAATGATCCCCTTGTACGGGCAATGATGTGTCTGACGCCCCGTAGGGATAATAAGCCCCTTGGATGGACGATGATGTGTATGACGTCCCTTAGGGCTAATGAGCCCCTTGGATTAGCGATGATGTCTCTTACACCCCTTACCGATAATGAGCCCCTTCTAGATAGACGATCATCTAAAACTTTGAAGCATTCCGCCCACCAAAAGTGCAAAAAAAGGCCATTAGCATGGTGAAAATTCTATTTTTCTGATTAAGTTCTCATTTTTAGGCATGTCTTAGAACGGTACGTGCTCGGATCACACCATAATGAGCCCCTAGGATGGGCGATGATATAACTGACGCTTTCTAAGAGACTCTTGGGTGACAAGTGTCTGTGAAAAAAACAATCTACTTTTGTATTTTAAGCAACATCAATGAAGAAACAAATTCTTATGCCTAACTTATGTATACTTGTATTTGTTGTTATGTTTGATGCCCTTAGGGGCGGCCGAGCCCGTTGGGGGGGGGGGGGGTTGGGCGATATATGTTTGGTGCCTCTTCCAGCTAATGAGCCCCTTGGATGGACGATGATGTGTCTGACGCCTCTTAGGGCTAATGATCCCCTTGGATGAGCGATGATGCGTCTCACGCCCCTTACGACTAATAAGCCCCTTGGATAGGCAATAATGTGTCTGACGCCCCGTAGGGATAATGATCCACTTAGATGGGCGATGATGTGTCTGAAACCCATTATGACTAATGAGCCCCTTGGATGGGCGATGATGTGTATGACACCCCTTTGGGTTAATGAGTCCCTTCTAGATAGGCGATCATGGAAAACTTTGACGCATTCGGCCCACCAAAGTTGCGAAAAAAGGCCTTTAGCATGGTGAAAATGCCATTTCTCTAATTGCGGTCTCATTTTTAGGCATGTCTTAGAAAGGTACGTGCTTAGATCACACCATAATGAGCCCCTAGGATGGGCGATGATATAATTGACGCTTTCTAAGAGCCTCTTGGGTGACAAGTGTCTTTGAAGAAACATGTAGACTTATGTATTTGAAGCAACATCAATGAAGAAACAAATTCTAATGGCTAACTTATGTATACTTGTATTTATTGTTATGTTTGACGCCCTTTGGGGCGGCCGAGCCCCTTAGAGGGGGGGGGGGGCGATATATGTTTGGCGCCCCTTCGGGCTAATGAGCCCTATGGATGGGCCATGATGTGCCTGACGCCCCTAAGGGCTAACGATCCAATTGGATGGGCGATGATGTGTCTCATGGCCCTTAGGGCTAATGAGCCCCTTAGATGGGAGATGATGTGTTTAATGCAACTTAGGGCTATTAAGCCCCTTGGATTGGCGATGATGTGTCAGACACCCCTTAGGGCTAATGAGCCCCTTTAATGGGCGATGATGTGTTTGACACCCCTTAGGGTTAATGAGCCCCTTCTAGATAGGAGATCATGGAAAACATTAATGCATTCGGCCCACCAAAATTGCGTAAAAAGGCCACTAGCATGATGAAAATGCCATTTTTCTGATTACAGTCTCTTTTTTAGGCATGTCACGAAACAGTACGTGCTCGGATCACCCCATAATGAGCCCCCTAGGATGGGCTATGATATAATTGTCTCTTTCTAAGAGTCTCCTAGGTGACAAGTGTATGTGAAGAAACATGTAGACTTATGTATTTGAAGCAACATCAATGAAGAAAATAATTGTTATAGCTAACTTATGTATACTTGTATTTATTGTTCTGTTTGACGCCCTTGGGGGCGGCTGAGCCCTTTGGGGTGGGGGGGGGGGGGGGTGAAGAAACATGTAGACTTATGATGTGTCTCTAGCTCCTTAGATGGGCAATGATGTGTCATACGCCCCTAAGGGCTAATGAGCCCCATAGATGGACGATGATGTGTCTGACGCCACTTAAATGGACGATGATGTGTCTGACGCCCCTTAGGGCTAGTGAGCCCCTTGGATGGGCGATGTTGTGTCTGACACCCTCAAGGGATAAAGATCCCCTTCTAGATAGCCGATAATCAAAAACTTAAATGCATTCGGCCCACCGAAATTGTGAAAAAAGCCCTCTAGCATGATGAAAATGCCATTTTTCTAATGACGGTCTCATTTTTAGACATGTCTTGGAACGGTACGTGCTCGGATCACCCCATAATGAGCCCATAAGATGGGTGATGATATTTTTGACGATTTTTAACAACCTCCTAGGTGACATGTGTTTGTGAAGAAACATGTAAACTTATGTATTTGAAGCAACATCAATTAAGAAACAAATTGTTATTGCTAACTTATGTATACTTGTATTTATTGTTATGTTTGACGCCCTTTGGGACAGCCGAGCCCCTTGGGGGTTTGGCGATATATGTTTGGTGCCCTTTTGGGCTAATGAGCCCCTTGGATGGGCGATGATGTGTCTTACGCCCCTTAGGGCTATTGAGCCCCTTAAATATGCAATGATGTGTCTCATGCCCCTAAGGGCTAATGAGCCACTTGGATGGACGATGATGTGTCTGACGCCCCTTAGGGCTAATGAGCACCTTGGATGGGCGATGATGTGTCTAACACCTTTTAAGGTTAATGAGCCTCTTCTAGATAGGCTATCTTGAAATCTTTGATGCATTTGGCCTACCGAAATTGCTAAAAAAAGGCCTCTAGCATAGTGAAAATTCCATTTTCTAATTACGGTCTCAATTTTGGGATTGTCTTGGAATGGTACGTGCTTTGATCTCCCCATAATGAGCCCTTAGGATGGGCGATTATATAATTAACGCTTTCTAAGAGCCTCCTAGGTGACGAGTGTCTTTGAAGAAACATGTAGACTTGTGTATTTAAAGCAACATCAATGAAGAAACAAATTGTTACGGCTAAATTATGTATACTTGTATTTATTGTTATGTTTGACTCCCTTTGGGGCGGCCGAGCCCCTTGGGGGGGGGGGCGATATATGTTTGGTGCCCCTTCAGGCTAATGAGCCCCTTGGATGGGTGATGATGTGCCTGACGCCCCTTAGGGCTAATGAGCCCCTTGGATGGGTGTTAACACCCATTTGTGTCTCTCCAAAACCAAACCTAGTGATGAATACCTTTCATGTCATTTGATTGTCGAACGATTCAAAAGTGTGAAAAGTTTAGTGATGAGGATGTTTTCATTAAAATATCTCTTTTTTCTGTTTTTGAAAACTTTTCTTTTCTTTCCCTCTTTATGAAAATCTTGCATTCCAGTTTAGTTTGATCCATAATATGGGTCTAATAATAGTGTAGGTTAATGGGGATTGAAAAGACCTTTCCAACAATATATTATAAGCCCAATTCCGATGAATAATGAGGAAGTTATGACCAAAACACTAAATTGAGCTCGGTTTGGTTCTTACATACGACCCAATGATTTAGAGGAGGGTCTATTATTAATTATCATTTCTAAAGCTAATAGGATTGATTATAGTTTTCTAGAATACTCTAGAAGGTTCTCTTAAATCCTAATGGAGTTAGGATTGATAATTATGTTACAAAGAGTTTGAAATTGAATAAAACTACTCCTTTTGAGAATCTTGTTTTTCACAAAATTGAATATATTATGATATTATTTTTGTGCCTCATACTCTTTATAAAAATCTTATATGGTTGAATATCTTGAAATTATCTTCCCAATGATATTTTATAATATTAATTCTGAGCTATAAGAAAAAGATATGAATGAGATACAAAACTCTATCCAAAATTGACACCCTTCCCCTATTTTGGTCATATCGTTTTATCTACAAAAGATTTTAATCTGATTTAAATTGTGTTGGAAAGTAGACTTCAAAAGCTTTCTAACGATATATTCTATGCCTTATTTAGACTTCTTGATCAAATGATATAATAAAAACAAAATACGCAACAACTGTCCTGCAGCGCTGGACGACGGGCTTGTCGCGCGGCGACAAGGGCAGTTGCGGCGACAACGTCATATTATATTCCTTTGCAAACTCTGATTCTTTTTTTTATCATATTCAGACTATTTTTCATTATAAATAGCGTCTTTAGACCTCTGTTTTTAATCATCAACTCTCAACCAGAATTCTCTAATTCTTCTCTCTCTCTAAGCTAAAGCTTATTCACTCTCTCTTTTCTAGTCAAGCCTTTTACAAACACAATTCCTCATACATTAGCACTAGACACACCTAGTCAAGTTCAAAGTTGTTTTCGCCCTAGACGTGAAAGAATGAGATATGAGGCATCCAAGTAAGTAATTTAATTACTTTATTGATATTATGATACAGAAATCATGCTTAGATTGTTATTTTGATTCCTAGTATTATGGTAGGATGTTTTATTGCTTCCTAGTATCTTGTTTAGGGTGA